TTATTAACTTTTGTAAGCGACAGCTAGAAGCCAGACTGGTGCAAAACTGTGGAATATACCCATGTCACCCATTGGAATAATCTTTAGTCTAGCATCAATTTTTGGTTGATTAATCAAATTTAATCTGTTGTTTCGTGTAATAACTATCATATAGTTTGTCAAATGCACTTGAAGACAAAAAAAAACCACGGATTATAGCAATATACACATGGAACTATGGATTTTGTTTAACTCGATTGAAAGATATATACATGGAATTATAGATTTTATTTAACTCAATTAAAAGGTCGTATAAACTATTTCTTGTTACTTCTTGCAAGCCAACGAGTTGTCATTTTCTAGCTCGAATCTGAACAGATAATTCTTGTCCTTCGACAAATGCTTACCTGTGTGATTCTCTGGCAAGATATAGCAGACGTAGTATAACTTTGATTCTCCTAAGAACTTGTTAAGCGAAATATCTGGCAGTCCTGGCAAGTTCACCAGTTTCCAACTAACAAGGTTCACATACATGCCGTGCTGACTGAACGAATATGTGTCCTCCGTATTATACGTAAAACACTTCGGTCTATCACACTTTGCTATGCTGACATCATCTTGAAACTCAGCCACTCCCATCTCTGGCGTTTGCTCGTTGGGCCTTGTGACTGCTAATTTGTCAACGGTGGAGTGCAATGGCATAGTCATCTGAGCTGCCGACTCTCTATCACCAAGTGTAGCATTGACATTAGCGGTGGTCGCGTGTATGAGCTTTAAGATAACCTTGGAGAACGTGCGCGTCAAAAAATTGAGCTTAACTTCGGAGTCTGTCTCTATACCTATGTACACCCGATCATTTTCTCCAACATTTTTGAACTTGCCCTGAATTTGTATTTCAAACTGGCGTTTCTTTCCTGCAAAGTACGGTTCATATTTGGAAGGCTGCTCGGTCTTGAGTTTAAGTATTGCCTTACCAGCGCAGTGCTCATTTTCCACGCTGAAAGGGATTTCTGTGTTGGGCTTGAAAACGTTCCCATTATCGTCCTTGATACGCAAAGGAATTGCCTTCTCTGTAGTAGCAAATTCTATCCGGCTATTTTTTATACCTATCTTCGCGTTGCTAGGTAGAAGATCAGTTTTCTCGGCTAAGCTAACATTGTCACATAAGGATATGTCGGGTGATGACGTAGCCGTATACATCGTGTCACTTTTGTGCGAGTTTGCACGTTGATTTGCCGTTTGGACATTTAAAACAGTTAAAGTCATATTCGCCTGTGCTCGATTGTAAAGATCGACCCGTTGATATTCAGTATAAAGTGCGCTCGAGAGAGAGTGTGTGTGTTGTAACGGGTTTGTATTTAACTATTTATGATGTTTTAAGGTTGTACTTCGTAGTTGTTGTTTCTTTTAGACAATTCAGATTTTATGACGCTATATATATATGCAAATATTTTATGTATCAGTTCACGCCGGGGGAGCCAAAAAGACAAAGGTTAAAAGTAGGGGCATAATTTCTGGAATATGTATAGAGTTAGGAGTATGAAAGAGTATGAACCAATAAAATACATAGAGTTGTATAGACTTTAGACCAAAGAGTCGATTTCCGCTTCTTATGTTCCAAATATGTGTAGCTCTGTGAAAGAGTAACTCTCTCATCGTATCATAAGAATTTTTTCTTTTCTTTTCCGCCCGACCTGTTGTTGAAGTTTTTTTTTTGTATTGCTTTCAGTTAATGACCGACGACCTAATGACTAAAAAAATGACTATTGAGGCCATGACTCATGAGGTCTCTGAGGCTCCGAGCCCTGAGCCCTGAGCCCTGAACCCTGAGCCCTGAGCCCTAACTCGTGGCCTGGCCCTGAAGTCCTGAACCGACTGTGAGAGTGTAAGAAACATTAAGGCGGTTCCAAGTCGATTTTTTTGTTTCTGCTATCCCCTGCCTGCTTTTTTTGTTGATTTGGCTCTATATTCTAAATTTTGCGACTGAATTTGGTATAGACCCGAAATTGATGTTAGGAATTTGAGACCCAACCCCAATTTTCGTTTATTTTCTTGGAAAAGTTAATATATTTTGGTATGAACTGGCTTGGAGAAGGGTATAAACAGAGAATTTATATATTTAAGCGCCTGCCTCCTACTTTTTGGGGGGGGAACAGAAATGGATTTGGAACCGACTACTTTTTTTTTTGAAACAGAAGAACTGTGCACTGCAGGACTGCAGACTGCTCACGGCAGGGGTCGCCGAGGAGCACAGTTTTTTCGGTAATAGTTATGGCGAACAATCAGCCTTTTATAATTGTTTTTTTTTTAAATCAAAAATAAAATTTGTATTATATGTATTTATGTATTTATTTATTTACACCGTAGTTTGTACAGTACGTACATCACAATGCCTCCTTTTAACAATAAATAAATAAAAATGGCTATAATATAAATATTTAAATAAATACATATAAAGACGTTTTTAATTTTTATACATATCTATTTACATATATATTTTTTATAAAAACAAAGGGTTTCTCTACCTCCGAATAGTTCGGTACTATAGCCAAAGTCGCCCTTCGTGAGCCCATAAATATCGACCCTACCTTTGCGAATGGACCGGATGCGGTTTTGAACACGGGCTGGGCGTTAATTATTGTATAGTGACGGGTGTCGTATAGACAAAGTCAGATTATAGCAAGATTTATTTTTAAATTACTGTGATCGACTGACTGATCGGGAATTCGGGACCGGGGACGTCCTTGAGTCCTTGACTCCTTAATCGTCCTCCCTGACTCCCTCTCAGCCTCTCTCCAACTCCAATCGAGAGTATTCACCAGACCCGAGGGCCGAGGTCCGAGGTCCGAGACTCCGAGGTGAAGTTACACATCTGTTTTTGTATCAGAATCCCTTTTTATTTCTACCTAACCAATATAGTTTTTTTTTAAAAGTATGTTGTATTCAATTATGTCTAAGATATGTACCCAACCAGAACTCCAAATTTGCCTTTTGTTTTAAAACAAAATTGGTCGCTTATATGACTTCTCAAAATCCGTGCAACAAAATCGAAATTTTTAATGGATTTTTGAAAATACGTCCGCACGGGCAAAAAAAAATCCGATCTCGATTTTTGAAAAGTGGATTTTTAGTGCTGTTTTGACAAAATCCAGGCCTCGGATTTTGTCAAAAACATCAACAAAATCCGTGAAACAAAATCTAACCATACTATAAATATACTCTTCTCTGAGTGGCTTAAATTTAAACATTTTGTCATGTATTTTTGACACCTGCATATTTTAAAGAAATTTGTATGTAACCCCACTGATTGTTTAATTTTGATGTCAAATATGTCAAAACAAACTGATTTTTAAAAAGTTCCGCACCCGTTATAAATATACTTTTGTAAATAACTTATACTCGGGTCTGATTGGTACTCAGCTGGAACTGGCCGAAAGCACTTGACCTCGAGACTGACGAGTCCTCGAGTCCTCGACACAATAATTATGTAGAGGCGCCATTTGAAAAAAAAATATGTTCAGGCTAAACTTGTCTTCATAGTCCATACAAAAAATTCAAAACATTATACAGTTTTTTTTCAAACAAAACAGTACATATTTTCAATATAAAATATATATTCATCCGCAATTCCTCACAGTCCTTTTGCTTTTAAAAAATGGCTTCTAAAATAAAAACAGTACAAAATGAGTATATGAGTAAAAGGTAATCGGGTCGATAATCGATACTCGAAAGATATGAAGAATGAAGATATGTATCGTAGAACGCAGAGTCGCAGAGTCGCAGAGTCCTAACTCCTGAGTAACAACTCTTAGCTCGCAAGTCTCCAGTCTCCACTCGGAGACGTAGACTCGTAGAATCCGAGAATCGCAGCGGTTGCTACTAGCTACAATGCTAAAGTAATATATCTACTCACAAGAGAGAAGGCTATACATATGACGTCCGGTTTCAATTTTCAACAACTCACTGAAGTCTGAACTCGGTCCATTTTTTTTAAGGCTGATGACCGGGTGAGTCCGGGTCTGCCTCAGGGGTACTCCATAATTTTCGTTTCAATTTCTGGAATTTTGGAATTTGTGAAATCTCTGAAATTTCGCAGCAACCTCAGTCCTCACTCCTGTCACTGTAAGTGTGGGGGCCAGCCCGGCCAGGCGGCCAGCCGCTCTGCTAGTGGTGCTGTGCCGCTGACATCGCCGTGGGCCGTGGGCCGTGGGCCGTGGGCCGTGGGCCGTGGGCCGTGGGCCTGTGGGCCTGTGGCCCGTGGGCTGTCAGGCGTCAGTCTGTGGGCCTGTGGCTGTCAGTGAGTCTATTTAATGAGTATTTACTCTACTAAAGTAGTTATCTTAGTCCTGTCGCCAGTGGGCTGTGGCCTCAGGGGCTCAGGGGCTCAGGGCTCAAACTTAAAAGCCGCAGGCCTGTGGGCTGTGGCCCTGGGCCGTAGCCTGTAGCCCGTAGGGCTTAGGCCGTAGCTGTGACTTGTTGACTTATGTGAGGCGTACGCCTGTGACTCTGTGAGTCCCTTACGTTTGGCGTTTACGTATATAGTGACTTTTCAACGTTTAACGGATTATATTTAGCGTTGCAACGGTTTGTCATATTTTGAACTGAATAGTACACATATTCTTTAAATGTAAACGGGTCACTGAAATGAAAGTATACGTTTGATTTTCAACGTTTAACGGATCATTTAGTTGCGGTGGAATTTATAGGTAACGAATTAAACGATATAAGGTTATAAATAAAAACCAAGATATATCGAAATGAGAAGCAAAAAAAAATATATATATAAAACATAGCCTTCTTCTAAATAAATAGACAAAAAACCCAAATAAATATAAATACATACATTGTAGATCCTTGGGGGGGGGGGTATATTATAGATAGCCTTCTGTATGAAAAATATCATCAACAAAAAAATACGCGGCAAGAATATACTGCGTCTTTTCAATTTCTCCTTGCCCTAAGGGCCTAATAATCACAATAATAAATATGTACAAATCAATACTTAATTATATGTATATCATATTTGTGTGTTCGCTCCATGCAGACCTGTAAATAACCTTTGCAGCAAGTATTTGCGTTATATTTAGTCGCGTGCGCAATTCTTCTGAAAATGCCCTCGACTATAGAAAGAGAAACAGTTCTGCAGAAAGAATCCGATTCTGTAAGAGCCGAATTAGAGTGGATACTCGGCGCGGATTCTGGCCACATAGACAACGTATTCCAAGAGGTCAGGCGACTGTTGAAAGCGACAGTAGAGACACTGTCACCAGTGACATCAGATGCCCAAAAAAGAAACATATATAATGCGCCACTGACGACAGAGGATGATTCAGTTCAAGGTAATATTCTAGGGTAGCCGACAACAGCATACTATAACAATCTTTGAATTCATGAACCGACCCTCCTAAAAGCATATATTTACAGATATTGCCTACTTGCAAACATAAATACACATACACACACATACACACACACACACACACACATATATATATATATATATATATATATGTGTGTGTGTGTGTGTGTGTGTGTGTGTGTGTGTGTGCGTGTAATGTATGTATGTATGGATGTATGTATATATGTATGTATGTATATCTGTATGTATGTATGAATGTATGTATGTATATATATATATATATATATATATGTGTGTGTGTGTGTGTGTGTGTGTGTGCGTGTGTGTGTGTGCGTGTGGGTGCATGTATGTATGTATGTGTGTGTGTGTGTGTGTATGTATGAATGTATGTATCTATGTATGTATATAGGTATGTATGTATGTCTGTCTGTATATATGTATGAAAGTATGTATATATAT